GAAATGCATGTGGACCCCGGTGCTTGCCAGTACATGCTTTTTTGAGCCAACTTGGTCAACTTCAGCTAGCAGTGAGGGTAGCAGGGACAATTTCCAAACGATTTTGTCTTCTGGGAAGTTTTAAAGTTAAGAAGAGATCTTTGAAGTGGTTTTGGCAAATCGGCTTATCCCCTCAGACTTTTGGTGATGGATCACCCATCACCTAGCAACCACTCTAATCCCACCCATCTTCCATCTGATTTGGTGAAGGAGAAGCCCTCTCCAGCACTTCTAATCCGATCTCAGAGCACCCACCAGCTAGGGGTTATCTCTGTTCTCTGCAACTGATGAACAAACAGGCCTAAGGATGTGGTAACTGGACTGAGGTCATACAAAGCCAGGATAGGAACCTAGTTCTGTCTCCTGCCCAGTGCCTGTTTTCCTTGGACAGCTTACTAGTTTCCAAAATTTCAGGGCAAAAAAAAAAAAAAAAAAATCCTTGGTAAAATCATTTAATCCAACTCCTTCTCTTAAAAACACTCTGGTGCAAAGAAATAGACTGACTTATACGTCAAATGTCTCGTCACTAGAACAACAGTTCCTGTCTCCTAGTGTCCTAAATGTTGGCATTTTCTCTCAGCAAAATAGAGATGAAAAGAGGACATCCCCTACAGCTGGGGGCTGTCAGAGTTCCAAAGTTCACGTATGCTCAGAGTTCAATGAGAACTTCCAGGCTAAATTTTTAAAAGAGATCTAGATCAGAGGCTGCACACTAGCAGTTGGAATTTGATCTGCAGACACAGTTGGTTTGGCCTGCAAGTGCTGGCTTTAAATTTGAATTTGGCCAATGTTAAAAAACAAACAAACAAACAAACAAACAAAGATATTTAACATTCAGAAAATTCAGAGTTCTGGCTTTTCTTGAAAAAATCCAAAGGTCTGGCATGGCTGCATCCACATTCCCACCCCTGCCAGTGAGCCAAGGCTGGGCAGAAGTTGCTCTCTTTGGAGGTGGCAGGTGCTGTCCGGCTCCCAGCCATCTCCACTTCCCCTGAGGTCACCTGAACCCTGAGGGTCACGTGTCAGATGCAGCTGCCTCCCTCCCTTACATGACCTTTCCCTGCCAGTATTTAAATGTATTCTTTTTTTTAATTTAATTTTTAAATTTTTCTAATGGAGGTACTGGGGATTGAACCCAGGAACTCGTGAATGCTAAGCATGTGTTCTACCATTCAGCTGTACCCACCCCACCCCCCTGCTGGTACTTATAGTTTTCCTCCACTGGAGTAAATGAGTCCACACTGAGGAGCTTTTAACTTTCAATGGGGTTCTCTGATTTGACCTTTTTTTTTTTTTAAAAAGGAACACAGCACTGTCAAAATCCAGCAGTAGGTAAGACTTGTCTGGCCGAGGCTTTCTAGTTTCTAGTTCAGTAATTATTTGGAGATAAGGCTGCTAGAAACTTGTAGAGGAGGGCAAAGAAAAAGTGGAAAGAAAATGTCTCATAGTGTAAGCAGGCTGGAGTGGTTTAGCATTTCCCACAGTTGTGGAGAAAAATACTAGGCTGGTATTAAAACACATTGTTAAGTGGTGGCACAAACGTGTCAGCCTTCACTTCTGCCCTTGTACCCACGCTCCCTTGAGGTGTGGGTTTGAGATAAGGGAACAGGATGTCAAAGCTTCTCAGGCGTGGCACAGGCCATTGGATGGACTAAAAATACCACAAGTGGAGAAGAGCCACACTCTGACAGAGATCCTTTTTTTAACAGGAGACCTGAGCTAATAGTGCATGTGGTGCCCTCCGTCAAAGGTGCTGGCAGGACTCTAGCCTTTCATTAAGTGACTCCACACCTCCGTGAGGAAGCTATGTGGCAACACATCCGTTTTGGGGCCAACCGAAGTATGAGCTCTTCAGAGCTGTGATGAAATCTCCCCAAATATTAAGTTAATATTATGTTTGTAGGCTCTTTCCCCCAACCCCCAGCCCGATCTGCCCACCCCACAAACCCTACAAAATTTCTGCCAATGAATTTTATAGTCAGCATGCATGTTGTCTCACTGGGATGTGTCCATCTGTGAACTCATCTAGGTCAGGTGATTCTGTTACTGGTGTCAACCTCAAGTTATGATGTGGAGCCTTGGAGTATAACCTCAGATTCAAAATCCCTATATAGTGAGTAGTACAAAGGTACACCCATGTGCCTTCAGGATGCAGGTTTATGGGCTGGTCCACTGTGTGATCTTTGTTAAGTCATTTAACCTCTCTACAGGCATGTGTTTTGTCACCTGAGAAAAAGAAAGGCAGACTCATAAAAGGTGACCCACGCAAAGAAGCTGGCATGCACAGGGCCTCCCTTCTTGTCATGGAATGCTGGAAGCTACAGGTCCTTGGAAGTTGAGCAGTCCCATCTCTTCATGACAGTTGCGGACATCAAGGCCCCCAGAGGTGGTCTCTCAGGCAAACAATGGCAGTGCCAGGCAACTCCTAAGACCTGGGTTCTGGTATTTTACCCAGCATTGGTTTTCTCACATGAGCCAGCCCATGAGAGAGACTCAGCAGGTAGGGACAGTGACAAGGCAGTCCCTATGATTTCTAGTGCGAGCCAAAGGGCTAGCTATGCAGAGGTCCATTTTGCTAAAGTTCTCCATAGGCCTCACCACTCCCTATTGCTCTCAGCCATCTTGGTTGCTTGCTGGGCCTCTGTATACATCCAAGTTGGGTTCAGCCAAACTCACTGGCTGAGTTGTCCTGTCAATAGTCTGGATTACTGATCAACCAAAGTTGAGGCATGCAAACGCCAGCTTTATAAATCTCACAGACAGGCATACACACAAAAGTGGCCCTCCAGATCACTTTCTAAGCTTCGTTTCTGGTCCATAGGCAGATGGTTGACCCTGTTTAATTCCGGCTTGCAAAGTGATGGCTTTATCCATCTACAGTCTTACAGAATGGGAACTTTAAAAATCACTGGCATGTATAGAAACGCCGGGCACCCCTGGTTGCCAGTAGAACTCTTCAAGAAAGACTTCACTAGCATGTGATGTATTAGGAGAGAACATACGATTCAACAGGAATGAGAATTCTGAATCCTGAAAGTGAAACTTCACACTTCATACAGCTTGTTATGACTTCCCTTTCTCTATGGAGCCACACAATGTGCTTATGATATTACTTTTTAAAAATAAATTACGGATAGCTGACTGATAGCAAATGCTCATTTGTGAACTGTAATTCATTTAAAGTCATGTCTTCTATTAGCCTCTGAAGGTCTAGGGGAAAGTGAAGGGCTGAGAAGACAGCACCCCAGAAATCCTGAGGGGCATTCCCCACCCCCTCACCCAGCCCCCACAATAGATTTCAAACCTCAAATATCCACTCTTATGGCAACTATCACCAAATCTTCTCTTGATGACTAAGCTGCCACTTTCATGACCCTAAGAAAATTTTGGAAATAGTTTGTCTACATTTTATGACAAACTCCTACTGGGCTGGGTGGATTAGTAAGGCTTGTATGAGGAGTGGCTGAAAGCAGAGTAATTTATTAAGGTTGACTGGAAACCCACAGCCCAAACACAGCTTCAAACCCTTATTTGAGTATGCTATTTTAAACCTGATTTGTGGCAGGGCACAGACCAAATTAAATCACTCATTTTACTGACTTGAGTCCCAAGCTTCAGTTCTCTGGTGGATTATTTTTAATTTAAAAATAAGCTCTTGCCCTATAAAAGCAAGCAGCACCAAGGAGAAACAAGACAGCCTAAGTGGCCCAAGAGACAGAGCAGTTGCTTTTATAAAAAAGCTCAAAAGTATTAATGACATTATTTCTAAGTTTAGGAAATGAACTTTATGGTAAATTTCTAGGTTATAATGAGGTAATAGAGATACGTATGTCTCTGAAACTGCTCCTAAAGATTTTGAAATGACACATGTAGGTAAACAGATGTTACAATATGACCACACAATGCAATACTATGCAGCCATTTAAAATACAGTGAAGCAGAGCTAGGTTTCAGACACAGAAAAATATGTGCCATAAGAATTTTACAGCAAGTGGCGGACACCATTTTTGGAGAAAAACTTGTGTCTTTGTGTGTTCATATAAACACCTTTCTGACACTGGCATCTATATTCAGCTATATTCAATTATATTCAGCTGCAGAGAGTATATTTATATATAGTTAGGAAAAAACCCTATGAAGATGCACGCTAAACCTAATACTGGTGGTAAAGGAGGCGAGTCGTCTTGGTTTTTAACTTGACTTTTCTTGCCTTAGTGGTTTGCATTTTTTTTTGCAAGAGCATTTATAACTTTTTTAACTAAATGAAAAATTAAGTGATGGGCTTTAAATAACTGTAACAACAGCTCCTGCCTGCCCTTCCTATCAGATTCCTGATGAACTTTTGTTTCCACCCCACTTAGTTAAAAAACACAATTCCCCAGGACATGGAAGGCTAGGGGAGGGAAAGGCGTGGCTTCCAGGGTTTTCTAGTTGCTAGAGGAAAGAAAACAGGCTGTAGGCGCCCACCCCTTTTTTTTAGCTACACTCCCTAGGGCTCCCACGTGTCAGGGGTGAGCAGAAGGGAGGCGCAGGGTGTAGGAGGAACCCAGTACCAATGCTTCCAAGCCCAGTGCTGGTAAAAGGTGCTTTTAGTTCGCCCTTTCCCGCCCCCCCCCCCAAATCCCCCAAAGATTAGTCAGCCGCCTGGTCCAAGTTTTACTTGAGCGGCCCAGCCTTACCCAGCACACCCACGCCTGCAGAGTACGCAGGCTCCAAGTGGGGAGAGCTGTGATGTGTTCTAACAGCGATCGTGTGCCAATTAGAATGGGGTCAGTGCTTGGGCAACTATCAGCCCAGAGCTACTTCCAAAGTGGACAGGTGGGCATAGGGGAGGGTGGACAAAACGTAATTTTTTGCTTAATAAGAGATGCCACCTGCCTCTCAGCGCCTGCGGGTGGGCTGGAGGAATGGAGTTCCGGATGGTCGCCGGGTGGAGGTGCGCGGCTGGCACCTGGGCTTACCTTGCAGGGAAACAGAACTGCCGAGGCCACCTTCTCCATAGCCAGATTCCTGATGCTGGGCGTCAGGGCGCCCCTGCACGTCGGGCAGCAGCTCAACTTCTGGCGGCATTGGTTACACACCAGGTGCCCGGCCTGGCACTGCAGGATTGGGGGCAGGACATAGTCAAAGCAGACCGGGCACTCGAAGAGCGAGGTCAGCTC